CCATCAACTTGTGTGTTTGATTTTTGACTCACAAAACATCTAGAAGGCAGATCAGACAATATTTATTGTTTGATTTTAAAAGTGCATTTGTCACTGTAAGTACAACAACATTTCAGCTGATTTTTCTGTTTTACTGGTGAAATCCCAGATTAAGTAATATAATAACTATATGCACATCTTAACTGATCTGAAATTTTATGTAGAAATTCGAAATTAATCATTAATTTTCATCAGAATATTTTGTAAACATTTATAGAATTGTTATGGTAATCAGTACATTTCTAACTGGTGTGAGGAACAGTTAAATGTTAACAAAATGTATATAATATATATTGTTATTCAGGTCAGATCATCTGCGTCTCCTCGGCATCTCATCCCTTCAGCTATGAAGTGAAGTTCCTTCACCCAACCAGTATTCCTGGGCAGTTTAAGTATCCATCCAGGGATGACCAGTCCATCATCAGATGTCAGTTTATTTTTTTTTAAGTAGCCTCAGCCATCCTGAGCCCGAAATCTGGTGGGAGAATGTTTTTCCTCCCACAATATCTACAACTTCAATCAGCATATGAAGACTACAAACAGAGGTAAGCTGCAATTCAATGAATACAAGTAATACTTATTGCAACTCAACATCTGGAAAGTAAAAACAAAATATCATATTGTATATTTTTTTCATTTTGTAACATAAGGATGGTGTTGGAGGTGTTCAAAATGACTGTTATTTCTTGCAGGTATTGGGCAGCATAGACATGTGGGAAGGTGTCCAGTGAAGAAGCTTTATGTCTGTTACTCATGCTGAGATAGACAATTTTGTGTGATTTTTGTTTAAACAATGACACTTCTAGTGATACCAATTAGGTTATGGTACAGTTAAATTATCATTTTATTATTCATATGTTTTGACTATGAGTATGATATTGTAATGTTTATATTGGTCATGTTTTATGGAATACTTCAAGATTAATAAAGTATGAGTGTGTTTGTTGTTTATTTATGATATTTAGGAACAAACTTTGTATGAATTTCTGGGTTGGTAGACTGTACTTCACATGGAAGCATCGTCCATTACTTGGACACTCTCAATTCTTTAATTTTTTTGCTTTAATTTCTGGAATAACTCTTGATGCATTAGATATAGGTGAATTCTGATGCCAAAAATGAAATCAGTGGTATCCAATTACCCTATGTACCAAATTTTGTTTTAAATACACCAACAAACAGCAAAGTTTTGGAAAAATGTAGATATTTTTGACGAAAAAAACGGTCCGCGACTTTCCAGTAATTATGAACAAAACCGATCTAGACCGGTACCCCGAATTTCGACGCTTTGTTTGCCTCTAAAATATTTATTTATTGTCCGATTTTAAAAAGGAAAAGTGATCTGAAATCAGTAGAATGTCATCTATCAGGAAATGTTATTTATAATCAGTTGTCTGTAATATGAAAAAATCATGTGGTATAGCTACTAGTAATGTAAGTACATCTTCTGAGGGTTGGTGAGAGATTGTGCCACACTCATTCTCAGCTAGTAATGTAAGTACATCATGTGAGGGTTGGTGGGAGATTGTGCCACACTCATTCTCAGTTAGTAATGTAAGTACATCATGTCAGGGTTGGTGGGTGATTGTGCCTCACTCATTCTCAGCTAGTAATGTAAGTACATCTTGTCAGGGTTGGTGGGAAATTGTGCTACACTCATTCTCAGCTAGTAATGTAAGTACATCATGTCAGAGTTGGTGGGTGATTGTGCCTCACTCATTCTCAGCTAGTAATGTACGTACATCCTGTCAGAGTTGGTGGGAGATTGTGCCACACTCATTCTCAGCTAGTAATGTAAGTACATCTTGTCAGGGCTGGTGGGAGATTGTGCCACACTCATTCCCAACTAGTAATGTAAGTACATCATGTCAGAGTTGGTGGGTGATTGCGCCACACTCATTCTCAGCTAGTAATGTAAGTACATCATGTCAGAGATGGTGGGAGATTGTGCCACACTCATTCTCAGCTAGTAATGTAAGTACATCTTGTCAGGGTTGGTGGGAGATTGTGCCACACTCATTCCCAACTAGTAATGTAAGTACATCATGTCAGAGTTGGTGGGTGATTGTGCCACACTCATTCTCAGCTAGTAATGTAAGTACATCATGTCAGAGTTGGTTGGAGATTGTGCCACACTCATTCTCAGCTAGTAATGTAAGTTCATCATGTCAGAGTTGGTGGGTGATTGTGCCTCACTCATATTGAGCTAGTAATGTAAGTACATCTTGTCAGGGTTGGTGGGAGATTGTGCCACACTCATTCTCAGCTAGTAATGTAAGTACATCATGTCAGAGTTGGTGGGTGATTGTGCCTCACTCATTCTCAGCTAGTAATTTAAGTACATCCTGTCAGAGTTGGTGGGAGATTGTGCCACACTCATTCTCAGCTAGTAATGTAAGTACATCTTCTGAGGGTTGGTGAGAGATTGTGCCACACTCATTCTCAGCTAGTAATGTAAGTACATCATGTGAGGGTTGGTGGGAGATTGTGCCACACTCATTCTCAGCTAGTAATGTAAGTACATCTTGTGAGGGTTAGTGGGAGATTGTGCCACACTCATTCTCAGCTAGTAATGTAAGTACATCATGTCACAGTTGGTGGGAGATTGTGCCACACTCATTCTCAGCTAGTAATGTAAGTACATCTTCTGAGGGTTGGTGGGAGATTGTGCCACACTCATTCTCAGCTAGTAATGTAAGTACATCATGTGAGGGTTGGTGGGAGATTGTGCCACACTCATTCTCAACTAGTAATGTAAGTACATCATGTCAGAGTTGGTGGGTGATTGTGCCACACTCATTCTCAGCTAGTAATGTAAGTACATCTTGTGAGGGTTGGTGGGAGATTGTGCCACACTCATTCTCAGCTAGTAATGTAAGTACATCATGTCAGAGTAGGTGGGAGATTGTGCCACACTCATTCTCAGCTAGTAATGTAAGTACATCTTGTGAGGGTTAGTGGGAGATTGTGCCACACTCATTCTCAGCTAGTAATGTAAGTACATCATGTCACAGTTGGTGGGAGATTGTGTCACACTCATTCTCAGTTAGTAATGTAAGTACATCTTGTGAGGGTTAGTGGGAGATTGTGCCACACTCATTCTCAGCTAGTAATGTAAGTGCATCATGTGAGGGTTGGTGGGAGATTGTGCCACACTCATTCTCAGCTAGTAATGTAAGTACATCTTGTCAGGGTTGGTGGGAGATTGTGCCACACTCATTCTCAGCTAGTAATGTAAGTACATCTTGTGAGGGTTGGTTGAAGATTGTGCCTCACTCATTCTCAGTTAGTAATGTAAGTACATCTTGTCAGGGTTGGTGGGAGATTGTGCCTCACTCATTCTCAGCTAGTAATGTAAGTACATCTTGTCAAGGTTGTAGGGTGATTGTGCCACACTCATTCTCAGCTAGTAATGTAAGTACATCATGTGAGGGTTGGTGGGAGATTGTGCCTCACTCATACTCAGGTAATAATGTAAGTACATCTTGTGAGGGTTGGTGGGAGATTGTGCCACACTCATTCTCAGCTAGTAATGTAAGTACATCATGTCAGGGTTGGTGAGAGATTGTGCCACACTCATTCTCAGCTAGTAATGTAAGTACATCATGTCAGAGTTGGTGGGAGATTGTGCCACACTCATTCTCAGCTAGTAATGTAAGTACATCATGTCAGAGTTGGTGGGGGATTGTGCCACACTCATTCTCAGCTAGTAATGTAAGTACATCTTGTGAGGGTTGGTGGGAGATTGTGCCACATTCATTCTCAGCTAGTAATGTAAGTACATCATGTCAGAGTTGGTGGGAGATTGTGCCACACTCATTCTCAGCTAGTAATGTAAGTACATCATGTGAGGGTTGGTGGGTGATTGTGCCACACTCATTCTCAGCTAGTAATGTAAGTACACCATGTGAGGGTTGGTGGGTGATTGTGCCACACTCATTCTCAGCTAGTAATGTAAGTACATCATGTGAGGGTTGGTGGGTGATTGTGGCATACTCATTCTCAGCTAGTAATGTAAGTACATCTTGTCAGGGTTGGTGGGAGATTGTGCCTCACTCATTCTCAGCTAGTAATGTAAGTACATCTTGTGAGGGTTGGTGGAGGATTGTGCCATACTCATTCTCAGCTAGTAATGTAAGTACATCATGTGAGGGTTGGTGGAGGATTGTGCCACACTCATTCTCAGCTAGTAATGTAAGTACATCATCTGAGGGTTGGTGGGGGATTGTGCCACACTCATTCTCAGCTAGTAATGTAAGTTCATCTTGTCAGGGTTGGTGGGAGATTGTGCCACACTCATTCTCAGCTAGTAATGTAAGTACATCATGTGAGGGTTGGTGGGGGATTGTGCCACACTCATTCTCAGCTAGTAATGTAAGTACATCATGTGAGGGTTGGTGGAGGATTGTGCCACACTCATTCTCAGCTAGTAATATAAGTACATCCTGTCATGGTTGGTGGGAGATTGTGCCTCACTCATTCTCAGCTAGTAATGTAAGTACATCTTGTCAGGGTTAGTGGGAGATTGTGCCACACTCATTCTCAGCTAGTAATGTAAGTACATCATGTGAGGGTTGGTGGGTGATTGTGCCATACTCATTCTCAGCTAGTAATGTAAGTACATCTTGTGAGGGTTGGTGGAAGATTGTGCCTCACTCATTCTCAGCTTGTAATGTAAGTACATCTTGTCAGGGTTAGTGGGAGATTGTGCCACACTCATTCTCAGCTAGTAATGTAAGTACATCTTGTCAGGGTTGGTGGGAGATTGTGCCATACTCATTCTCAGCTAGTAAGGTAAGTACACCTTGTCAGGGTTGGTGGGAATTTGTGCCTCACTCGTTCTCAGCTAATAATGTGAATACATGACCTACACACATGATCTGATGGACAGACTTTCACCCTGTATATAACATATACGTTTGATAAACCTATTGGTAACATTCTTTATTGTGTTGCTTTAGGCATTAACTGGAGTAATCGTCCTTGACGTTGTTGGACTTCTCTTGGGCTGGCGCATGTTCGACCATGCTGCTCATCTGGGAGGAATGTTGTTTGGATTGTAAGTTACATGGTCTACTCTGGTGTGTCAGTAGGGAGGTGGTCTACTCTGGTGTGTCAGTAGGGAGGTGGTGTACATGGTGTGTCAGTAGGGTGGTGGTCTACTCTGGTGTGTCAGTAGGGAGGTGGTGTACATGGTGTGTCAGTAGGGAGGTGGTGTACATGGTGTGTCAGTAGGGAGGTGGTGTAGATGGTGTGTCAGTAGGGAGGTGGTGTACATGGTGTGCCAGTAGTTAGGTAGTGTACATGGTGTGTCAGTAGGGAGGTGGTGTACATGGTGTGTCAGTAGGGTTTTGGTGTGTCAGTAGGAGGGAGGTGATGTACATGGTGTGTCAGTAGGGAGGTCGTGTACATGGTGTGTCAGTAGGGAGGTCGTGTACATGGTGTGTCAGTAGGGAGATGATGTACATGGTGTGTCAGTAGGGAGATGGTGTACATGGTTTATCAGTAGGGAGGTGGTGTACATGGTGTTTCAGTAGGGTTTTGGTGTGTCAGTAGGGAGGTGGTGTACATGCAGGTGTGTCAGTAGAGAGGTGGTGTACATGGTGTGTCAGTAGGGAGATGGTGTACATGGTGTGTCAGTAGGGAGGTGGTGTACATGATGTTTCAGTAGGGTGGTGGTGTGTCATTAGGGAGGTGGTGTACATGGTGTGTCAGTAGGGAGGTGGTGTGTCAGTAGGGAGGTGGTGTAAATGGTATTCTTTATGTATTGTTACGAGGCATACTGTAGATTCCAGTACTTACATCTCAGATTTTGACTTCAACAGGTGGTACACAAACTATGGCAGGGAAGTTGTGTGGAGGAGAAGACAAGCTGTGATGAAATTCTGGCATGACATGCGAGGAAAACCTTGATGAACACTCCACTAGGTTACTGCTGTGTGTGATATATTATGTACAAAAGGTGTAACAAACAGCTGGGAACAAGTGAAATGTTGCACCAATAAAGGACATTATTTCAAAACGTTCATTTTTGTTTTTCTCAAAAAAAATAGCCTTTGAACCAAACAAAAAAGACCCTGCAACTTCAGTGTCAGTGTCTGGAGATTGCTGGAGTTGTCTACAGATGGCTGGAGTACTTATACTGAAGGTGTCTGCTGAGATGGCTGAAGAGATGGCTGGAGTGTACTGAAGGTGTCTGGTGATGACTGAAGGTACTGAAGGTGTCTGGAGATGGCTGGAGTGTCTGGAGATTGCATGTACCTGAAGGTGTCTGGAGATGGCTGGAGGTACTTGGAGTACTGAAGGTGTCTAGAGATTGGTTCAGTACTTGTACTGAAGGCGTCTGGAGATGGCTAGAGTACTTGTACTGAAGGTGTCTGGAGATGGCTGGAGTACATGTACTGAAGGTGTCTGGAGATGGCTGGAGTACTTGTACTGAAGGTGTCTGGAGATGGCTGGAGTACATGTACTGAAGGTACTGAGTGATTGCTGGGTGTCTGGAGATGGCTGGAGTACATATACTGAAGGTGTCTGGTGATTGCTGGAGTACATGTACTGAAGGTGTCTGGTGATTGCTGGAGTACTTGTACTGAAGGTGTCTGGAGATGGCTGGAGTACATGTACTGAAGGTGTCTGGAGATGGCTGGAGTACATGTACTGAAGGTGTCTGGTGATTGCTGAAGTTGTCTACAGATGGCTGGGAGTACATGTACTGAAGGTGTCTGGAGATGGCTGGAGTACATGTACTGAAGGTGTCTGGAGATTGCTGGAGTTGTCTACAGATGGCTGGAGTACTTGTACTGAAGGTGTCTGGAGATTGCTGGTGTTGTCTACAGATGGCTGGAGTACATGTACTGAAGGTGTCTGGAGATGGCTGGAGTACATGTACTGAAGGTGTCTGGAGATGGCTGGAGTACATGTACTGAAGGTGTCTGGAGATGGCTGGAGTACATGTACTGAAGGTGTCTGGAGATTGCTGGAGTTGTCTACAGATGGCTGGAGTACTTGTACTGAAGGTGTCTGGAGATTGCTGGTGTTGTCTACAGATGGCTGGAGTACATGTACTGAAGGTGTCTGGAGATGGCTGGAGTACATGTACTGAAGGTGTCTGGAGATGGCTGGAGTACATGTACTGAAGGTGTCTGGAGATGGCTGGAGTACATGTACTGAAGGTGTCTGGAGATGGCTGGAGTACTTGTACTGAAGGTGTCTGGAGATGGCTGGAGTACATGTACTGAAGGTGTCTGGAGATGGCTGGAGTACATGTACTGAAGGTGTCTGGAGATGGCTGGAGTACATGTCCTGAAGGTGTCTGGAGATGGCTGGAGTACATGTACTGAAGGTGTCTGGAGATGGCTGGAGTACTTGTCTTGAAGGTGTCTAGAGATGGCTGGAGTACATATACTGAAGGTGTCTGGAGATTGCTGGAGTTGTCTACAGATGGCTGGAGTACTTGTACTGAAGGTGTCTGGAGATGGCTGGAGTACTTATACTGAAGGTGTCTGGTGATGACTGGAGTACTTGTACTGAAGGTGTCTGGAGTTGGCTGGAGTACATGTATTGAAGGTGTCTGGAGATTGCTGGAGTACTTGTACTGAAGGTGTCTGGAGATTGCTGGAGTACTTGTACTGAAGGTGTCTGGAGATTGCTGGAGTACTTGTACTGGAGATTGCTGGAGTACATGTACAGATGGTGTCTAGAGATTGGTTCAGTACTTGTACTGAAGGCGTCTGGAGATGGCTGGAGTACATGTACTGAAGGTGTCTGGAGATTGCTGGAGTTGTCTACAGATGGCTGGAGTACTTATACTGAAGGTGTCTGGAGATGGCTGGAGTACATGTACTGAAGGTGTCTGGTGATTGCTGGAGTACTTGTACTGAAGGTGTCTGGAGATGGCTGGAGTACATGTACTGAAGGTGTCTGGAGATGGCTGGAGTACATGTACTGAAGGTGTCTGGAGATTGCTGGAGTACATGTACTGAAGGTGTCTGGAGATGACTGGAGTACATGTACTGAAGGTGTCTGGTGATTGCTGGAGTACTTGTACTGAAGGTGTCTGGAGATGGCTGGAGTACATGTACTGAAGGTGTCTGGAGATGGCTGGAGTACATGTCTGAAGATGGCTGGAGTACATGTACTGAAGGTGTCTAGAGATTGCTGGAGTACTTGTACTGAAGGTGTCTGGAGATGGCTGGTAGTACTGAAGCTGGAGTACTTACTTATACTGAAGGTGTCTGGAGATGGCTGGAGTACATGTACTGAAGGTGTCTGGTGATTGCTGGAGTACATGTACTGAAGGTGTCTGGAGATGACTGGAGTACATGTACTGAAGGTGTCTGGTGATTGCTGGAGTACTTGTACTGAAGGTGTCTGGAGATGGCTGGAGTACATGTACTGAAGGTGTCTGGAGATGGCTGGAGTACATGTACTGAAGGTGTCTAGAGATTGCTGGAGTACTTGTACTGAAGGTGTCTGGAGATTGCTGGAGTACTTGTACTGAAGGTGTCTGGAGATGGCTGGAGTACATGTACTGAAGGTGTCTGGAGATTGCTGGAGTTGTCTACAGATGGCTGGAGTACTTATACTGAAGGTGTCTGGAGATGGCTGGAGTACATGTACTGAAGGTGTCTGGAGATGGCTGGAGTACATGTACTGAAGGTGTCTGGAGATTGCTGAAGTTGTCTACAGATGGCTGGAGTACTTATACTGAAGGTGTCTGGAGATGGCTGGAGTACATGTACTGAAGGTGTCTAGAGATTGCTGGAGTACTTGTACTGAAGGTGTTTGGAGATGGCTGGAGTACAGGCTAAATAGGGGTGCTGGGGTAGCCAAGTGGTTAAAGCGTTCGCTCATCACACCGAAGATCCGGGTTCGATTCTCCACATGGGTACAATGTGTGAAGCCCATTTCTGGTGTTCCCCGCCGCGATTTTGCTGGAATATTGCCAAAAGCAGCGTCAAACCAAACTCACTCACTTGCATAGGCGAGTTTCGCTTACATATGTGAAACCTAACATCCTGTTGATAGCCGTACCTCTTCCACTTGGGCCAACTCTTCTGAGACAGCAAAAGTGAGACAGGTTCCATTGCAATCCACTACAGCACCACCTACATGTATGGAAACTATCCCGCGACCCCTTCTCAGCAGGAGTTCCCTCAGATGTTGTGCAATAACTCAGTCTTTAGACATCTGCTCTCTATAACTACAGCAGTGGGGAATCAGATCAATAACTTTGATTATAATGATAATAATAATAAATATTAGCGCTTGCATCCCAAGTACACAGTCGTCATGCTCCCCATTGTTCTCGGTGCCCTTGGTTTGGTACCTCCTGATCTCTTGGCGCAGATCAGCAGAGTGCCCTGGTTCTCCACCGGGAGCACAGCCCTTCTGACACTCTGGGTAATGCAGATGGCTGCAGTGTTGGGGAGCCTTCATATTCTCCGGAAAGTTCTTGGTGACTAGGCAGCGTTTCCTGTGAGAAGTCCCATTCGCTGTCTGGGCTGCGTGTAGAGGGGGCAAGGGCCCTGAGCTGATGATGAGCCTTACCAGCCTGACTGTGCCAGGATCACCCGAACCCTCTCTACTGCATTTTCATCTTTAATCTGTAAAACATAATAAATATGATTATAATTATCCCAATGATTACGGAATTTCTAATGCATACAAGAAACGATAAATCTTCGATATTGAACTATTGAAGGCTATCCAGCACTTCCGCCATTAGCCGCTGGCATCAGTGCTCACTACATCGGTGGTTTTATTGGTTGCTTTACACCATCAGTTGAAACGTAGGGACAAAACTAAACTATCATCTTCCTTGGAAGACCTGGCACTAGCTACAGCCTCAAGGGTGACCGAACCATACATGCACTTAATGTCAGGTCAATTACGTTGCTAAAGAATCCGTATAAAGTCATGATGAGAGCAATTCCTTGCTGAGAATTCGATACCTGCCTTGGAACCTCAAGGCAAGAGTGTTTACTTCCCTGTCTGGCTCCCACGCTGGACAGGGTTTATTGGACAGACCTCTATGCCATTGACTTTTACCTTCATGACTGAGGGAACATGCTTGCGCAACAGGCATGCCACGTCTGTCTTCTGGGAAAATGTCACAAAATTGAAGTAAATAGTCATCACCGATGTGGAGTCTACATTTTGTTTGGACCATCAATGGTACTGTTAACGGAAGTGATGTCATTATTTCCAAGAATTACGTCATAGCCCACCAAGTACAGCAGCAAGAGACGGTCTCGAATATTATCACAACAACCAAACTCAGGTCTCTTTCTTTTATCGGTAACAATATAGATTTGTATGTTACATGGGTTCCTCCTTGCCTCGTCTGGGGTACTCTGTGCCCACCATGCCCATGTGGGGTCAAGTGTTAGGGGGACGTATTCGTAAGAATTTTGAAGTATTATCAACAACGATAATAGATCTTAGAATACTACTTCTAACACTCGAAGTAAATGCCTGCCCATCCTTCCCCCGAGATGCTGGAGTACCTACCACACAAGGCTATGGAGTTCTCCGCTTTTGTCAGTTGAGACAACTCCTTCAGAGAGCACTGGGGACGACCACTATGAAGTAAGACGACACAAAATGTTTTAAAATGTTATTAAAGGGAAACCTGTGGATCAGACACGTTCAGGAAATAAGGCAATCAAGTATCAGAGAAGGCGGCCCACATCGTTAAACCCGCCACAAGCCTGTCCACTTCCTCTATGTACCTTTGAGCATAACGTTTCGTCTGTATGGAGAAGCAAACAACGTGACAAGTCACTAAACAAAATACGGCTCCGTCGCTGTTGTGGCCATACTCTGTGTCCTCTACACCATTCGCCTAGCCGATGACAATGATGATCTGGTCGTCTCGAGCGAATACCAACCACGCGTTGACGGTTCTTGCATGATAAGTATGTTGATATAAGGGAAGCACTGTAATTTCTGTCATACTTTCATCATTCTGTGATTGGTTTTATACCAAAGGGGTTTCCAAATGTGTCAGGGCTTTTTTTCGGAAAGACTCTTGCTTTGCTCATCCATACCTTACACAGATGGTTTTGAACTTGAAGATTTGGAATTACTGAATCATAGAGCCAGTGGGATGACTTGTCAACTTATGTAAAGTTTGCTGAAATTAATTGATGTTTCGAAGTCGAAATCATATACCACAATATGTAGTATGTTCATTGCGAAATGTAGCATTTCTGGATTTTAGTGCTTTTTCATTCCTTCATATGCAAAACGAAAGCAACGAAGGAATAAAAATAATAAGTGTCATCACTCTAGTATGTCGGCAAACAGAAATGTGTAAATTGTACCAAAATTATATGTCACAATTGCATAATCTATCTACCCACTGTTCGAAGAAGTGCCAACAATGTGGTATATTTTACGCCGTATGTAGAGGAAGGCCAACCTACCAGATGTTTCACTTTTGCAAACATGAAGAAGAGTCTTTGCCATATACAGACGTATTGTAATGCAACTTTAACATGAATTTGAACCTGAGACAGGGTGTGTTCAACTGGTCAGGATACATATCCCTAACTGGTATTCAGGCTGCAAGACATCTATGCAAGACGCCCCCAACCTGGCAACGGAGGTGTGTCTCAGAGAACAGTTCCACGACATCTATGCAAGACGCCCCCATACCTTGCAACAGAGGTGTGTTTCAGAGAACAGTTTCACGACATCTATGCAAGACAACCCCATACCTAGCAACAGAAGTGTGTCCCAGAGAACAGTTTCACGACATCTATGCAAGACAACCCCATACCTAGCAACAGAGGTCTGTCTCAGAGAACGGTTCCACGACATCTATGTAAGACAACCCCATACCTGGCAACAGAGGTGTGTCTCAGAGAACAGTTCCACGGCGTCTATGTAAGACAACCCCATACCTGGCAACAGAGGTGTGTCTCAGAGAACGGTTCCACGGCGTCTGTGCAAAACGCCCGACTTGACGGCCAGTTCTGACGATAAAACATCAACGTCGACCGACGTCTCCAGTGGAGTAGACAAGAATGGAGATGGAGAGGAGAAGAGTTCTCTTCACAGATGAGTCATCTTTCTGTCTTCTCCGTACTGACGGCAGGTAACTTGTCATCGCGCGCAAAGGTAAACGTTATGTCGGCCATAGTTTCTGAAGGGATCGGTTTGGAGATGGGGCCGATATGGGGTGGAATAACAGCTGCAGCATGGGTGCCAGTGATGGTGTGAGGTACCAATGACAAGCTGGGATGAAATGAAACAACGCGCACGATAGACGCACACTCTCCTGAACGCTTAAACTTGCTTGTGAACCCCTCTTGTGTTGTGGCTCGGTTGCATACATCAGGCGCACATATCGTATGGACTGATAATCGTTTTGAAGCATTCCTGGCAGTAAACGTTTACCACTGTTCCTGTTTGTTTACCACTGTGTTGTTTGTTTACCACTGTGTTGTTTGTTTACCACTGTGTGTTTGTTTACCACTGTGTTGTAAGCCACAATAATTTCATTCCGACCGAGGGCTACCCAATGTGTCCATGGATACTGCACATCTATCTGTAAAGACAAAAACAACGCCTTTTATACCACTTATTGATGTCCTGCGTAATTCACTGCACAGAATATATTGTGCATTTGTGCCTTTTTTGTCCTGTAGCTAATTTAAGACATTTTAGATGACCCCTTTCTATACAAATTCTCATATATAGACACCACTGCGTCAAAGCTACATGGAGTAGTTGACCAGTTATACAGGTTACAGTTACAACGGGTAGGAAGACGGTAGGCTTTACTTCTGCTGTGCTCTCTAGCCTCGTGTCACGTGTCTCATATCGCATAGTCTCCACACAAAACAGCTTTTAGTTGTAATCAGATATCACGCTTGACTCCCCACAGATTACGATCACCTTCTCCGGGATATGTGAGTGCACTTGTGTGTGATGGACGTTTGTTGTCTCGGAGCCAGTCACTCAGGGCAGAGCAGCCATTATCCCTCTCATTAGTCGCCTCCACGTCACGTGACGTATTAGTATACCACTGACTGCATGAGTCTATATCAGATTATTCATTGCGACGGCGGAAGTCACAGCCCACCAGACGTCTTGAAGAATAAACAACATTCACTTGTCATTTATATTGATTCCCGACACAGGTATGTAAATTTGATTTGATATGAAATGAAGAATTTCACAGTGTAATAAAACAAGAGACATACCACTGCATTTGTATTAGTTTATACAGTCTTGGATTCACAAGCCTGTTTTGTTACAGTTTATGGCACACCCGACAGTAATACCTACCTGTATGTTCAGCACTGTCATCCGAGGCTAACAAACCACTACATACAGTAATACCTACCTGTATGTTCAGCACTGTCATCCGAGGCTAACAAACCACTACATACAGTAATACCTACCTGTATGTTCAGCACTGTCTTCCACGGCTAACAAACCACTATATACAGTAATACCTACCTGTATGTTCAGCACTGTCATCCACGGCTAACAAACCACTATATACAGTAATACCTACCTGTATGTTCAGCACTGTCATCCACGGCTAACAAACCACTATATACAGTAATACCTACCTGTATGTTCAGCACTGTCATCCACGGCTAACAAACCACTATATACAGTAATACCTACCTGTATGTTCAGCACTGTCATCCACGGCTAACAAACCACTATATACAGTAATACCTACCTGTATGTTCAGCACTGTCATCCACGGCTAACAAACCACTATATACAGTAATACCTACCTGTATGTTCAGCACTGTCATCCACGGCTAACAAACCACTATATACAGTAATACCTACCTGTATGTTCAGCACTGTCATCCACGGCTAACAAACCACTATATACAGTAATACCTACCTGCATGTTCAGCACTGTCATCCACGGCTAACAAACCACAAAATACAGTAATACCTACCTGTATGTTCAGCACTGTCATCCACGGCTAACAAACCACTATACACGATCAAACACCCTAACACCTCAGATCACACACATTAAGAAGTTTTATGCGTTTAAATATATTGCGTTATAAGTTCAATCTACAAACCTTTACATGTACTATAAAATCAGGCAAGCTTACATGAATACGACTACATGATGCATTCAAACACGTTCACATGATGGATCCAAACACGTTCACATGATGCATCCATCACGTTCACATGATGCATCCAAACACGTTCACGTGATGGATCCAACCAGGTTCACATGATACATGCAACGAGGTTCACATGATGCATCGAAACACGTTCACATGATGCATTCAGACACGTTCACATGATGCATTCAAACACGTTCACATAATGCATTCAAACACGTTCACGTGATGGATCCAACCAGGTTCACATGATGCATTCAAACATGTTCTCATGATGCATCCCACCACGTTAACATGATGCATCCAAGCACGTTGACATTATGCTTCGAAACACGTTCACATGATGCATTCGAACACGTTCACATAATGCATTCAAACACGTTCTCATGATGCATACAAGCAAGTTCACGTGATGCATACAACCATGTTCACATGATGCATCCAACCGCGTTCACATGATGCATTCAAACAGGTTCACATGATGCATCGAAACACGTTCACATGATGCATTCAAACACGTTCACATGATGCATTCAAACACGTTCACATGATGCATTCAAACACGTTATCATGATGCATCCAACCATGTTCACATGATGCATCCAACCACGTTCACATGATGCATCCAAGCACGTTGACATTATGCTTCGAAACACGTTCACATGATGCATTCAAACACGTTCTCATGATGCATTCAACCATGTTCACATGATGCTTTCAAACCACGTTCACATGATGCATTCAACCATGTTCACATGATGCATCAAACCACGTTTACATGATGCATTCAAACATGTTCACATGATGAATCAAACACGTTCACGTAATCCATGCAAACACGTTCACATGATCCATCCAACCACGTTTACATGATGCATTCAAACACGTTCACATGATGAATCAAACACGTTCACATGATGCATTCAACCATGTTCACATGATGCTTTCAAACACGTTCACATGATGCATTCAACCATGTTCACATGATGCTTTCAAACACGTTCTCATGATGCATTCAACCATGTTCACATGATGCTTTCAAACACGTTCTCATGATGCATTCAACCATGTTCACATGATGCTTTCAAACACGTTCTCATGATGCATTCAACCATGTTCACATGATGCTTTCAAACACGTTCACATGATGCATTCAACCATGTTCACATGATGCATCAAACCACGTTCACATGATGCATTCAACCATGTTCACATGATGCATCAAACCACGTTTACATGATGCATTCAAACACGTTCACATGATGAATCAAACACGTTCACGTAATCCATGCAAACACGTTCACATGATCCATCCAACCACGTTTACATGATGCATTCAAACACGTTCACATGATGGATCAAACACGTTCACATGATGAATCCAACGAGGTTAACATGATGAATCAAACACGTTGACATTATGCATTCAAACACGTTCACATAATGCATCCAAGCACGTTGACATTATGCTTCGAAACACGTTCACATGATGCATCCAACCAGGTTCACATGATGCATTCAAACACGTTCACATTATGCTTCGAAACACGTTCACATGATGCATGCAACCACGTTGACATGATGCATTCAAACACGTTCACATGATGAATCCAAACACGTTCACATGATCCATGCAAACAGGTTCACATGATGCATCCAAACACGTTCACATGATGCATTCAACCACGTTCACATGATGCATTCAAACACGTTCACATGATGCATTCAACCACGTTCACATGATGCATTCAAACACGTTCACATGATGCATTCAACCACGTTCACATGATGCATTCAAACACGTTCACATGATGCATTCAACCACGTTCACATGATGCATTCAAACACATTCACATGATGCATTCAAACACGTTTACATGATGCATCCAAACGCTTACATGATCCATGCAACCACGTTCACATGATGCATGCAACCATGTTCACATGATGCATTCAACCACGTTCACATGATGCATTCAAACACGTTTACATGCCATACACAACCAAACACGTTTACATGTTGTACACAACCAAACACGTTCACATGATGCCTACAACCACGTTTACATGATGCATTCAAACACGTTTACATGTTATACACAACCAAACACGTTTACATGCCATACACAACCAAACACGTTTACATGCCATACACAACCAAACACGTTTACATGTTATACACAACCAAACACGTTTACATGCCATACACAACCAAACACGTTTACATGTTATACACAACCAAACACGTTTACATGTTATACACAACCAAACACGTTCACATGTTATACACAACCAAACACGTTTACATGTTATACACAACCAAACACGTTTACATGCCATACACAACCAACCACGTTCACATGTTATACGTGACAAACACTTTCACATGTTATATACAATCAACAACTGTCACTAGTTATATACCATCAACCACATTTACATGTTATATACAAGACCCTTTACATGTTATAATCAACCTAGCATTTTATCTGTTATATATAAAAAACAACGTCCATGTCATTCAAAACTATGTGTAACTACATTTACATGTTAAATGCAACAACCGCGTTCAATCTTGTTTACATGGTCGTCCACTTTTATGCCATGCCCGACCATGCACGCTGGCCTGCTGTATAACATCGACAACGTTTACTTATTGCATTTTATCAACAACGTTTCCTTGTGACACACCATCAACAATGTTAACGTAAGCTGTATACTGTCGACCACGACATGCTGTATATGCTTCTGTGGTCAGATGTTGTACACGTCCACGTTTTCATAGTATACACGTCCATGCTGTAAACGTCATTGTTGCATCCTATATACGTCCATGTTATATGTCATACGTTCATCTTATATGTCATACGTCCATGTTACATGTCATACGTCCATGTTATATGTCATACGTCCATGTTATATGTCATACGTCCATGTTATATGTCATACGTTCAGGTTATATGTCATGCGTCCATGTTATATGCCATACGTTCATGTTATATGTCATACGTTCATGTTATATGTCATACATCCATGTTATATGTCATACGTTCATGTTATATGTCATACATCCATGTTATATGTCAAATCCATGTTATATGTCATACATCCATGTTATATGTCATACATCCATGTTATATGTCATACGTCCATGTTACATGTCATACGTCCATGTTACATATCATACGTCCATGTTACATGTCATACGTCCATGTTACATGTCATACGTTCATGTTACATGTCATACGTTCATGTTACATGTCATACGTCCATGTTATATGTCATACGTCCATGTTATATGTCATACGTTCATGTTATATGTCATACATCCATGTTATATGTCATACGTTCATGTTATATGTCATACATCCATGTTATATGTCATATCCATGTTATATGTCATACATCCATGTTATATGTCATACATCCATGTTATATGTCATACGTCCATGTTACATGTCATACGTTCATGTTACATGTCATACGTTCATGTACGTCCATGTTACATGTCATACGTCCATGTTACATGTCATACGTCAATGTTACATGTCATACGTTCATGTTACATGTCATACGTTTATGTACGTCCATGTTACATGTCATACGTCCATGTTACATGTCATACGTCCATGTTATATGTCATACTTCCATGTTAAATGTCATACGTTCATGTTATATGTCATACATCCATGTTATATGTCATACATCCATGTTATATGTCATACGTTCATGTTATATGTCATACATCCATGTTATATGTCATATCCATGTTATATGTCATACATCCATGTTATATGTCATACGTCCATGTTACATGTCATACGTTCATGTTACATGTCATACGTTCATGTTACATGTCATACGTTCCTGTACGTCCATGTTATATGTCATACGTCCATGTTACATGTCATACGTCCATGTTACATGTCATAAGTTCATGTTACATGTCATACGTTCATGTACGTCCATGTTACATGTCATACGTTCATGTTACATGTCATACGTTCATGTACGTCCATGTTACATGTCAT